AAAATAAGTACAATGGCTTCATTATCCACATATGTGATAATTTACAACTACTGGAGCCATCTCACAGGAAGGGGGTACATCCTGCTTTTCTCTGTGGGTCATTGAAAGCAGCACAGGGCTGGAGACAGACTCAGAACATGTGCTGATACTTGTCCTGCCTTTCCGTCTTCATTTGCATATTTGGGATGGTTGGGAAAAGTGAACTCTGAGGTCTCAGCCCTCATGTTCTGTGACTTAATATAGTTCTCTTCTAAAAACATCGGTCCTGTGTGATAAGTAATAAAAAACGAGGAGATTTAAAAAAAAATTATTGCTTCATTACAATGATACATATTAGTGGGGTTTGTTGTTAGATATTCATACATGCATACAACATAATTTGGTCAATTTCATTCACCAAGTCTTTCCCCTTTCCCTTCCCTCCTCTATCTCCCAGGCTCCCATCTTCTACCCTAAGGAGAGTAGATTTTTAAGCCTCATCTAAGAATTAATTGGTGAAACATATGATTGCAAAAATATTATTTAAAATTAATCTAAAACTGAAGTTAAGAAAACTACTTTATTTGCTATAATATTAAAACAAATAAAGTATTAAGGATCAAATTAAACAAAAGAAGTACAGCCGGGTATGGTGGTGAATGCCTGTAATCCCAGCGGCTAGGGAGGCTGAGACAATAGAATCACAAGTTCAAAGCCAGCCCCAGCAAAGGTGAGGCACTAAGCAACTCAGTGAGACCCTGTCTCTAAATAAAATACAAAATAGGGCTGGAGATGTGGCTCAGTGGTTGAGTGCCCTTGAGTTCAGTCCCTAATATCTCCCCTCAAAAAAAAAGTACAAAATTTTTTCTTTGGACACTATTAAACATTGTTGAGAGACATTTACAAAGTCCTGCTTCATGGACTGGATGGCATAAGAATGGAAACACTCTCCAAAATATTGACTTACTAAAATCCCTATCAAAATCTCAGTTGGCATTTTGGCAGAAATCAAAAGGCTGATCCTAAGATTTATTTGGAAATTCATTGAGTGAGAATAGCCAAGATAATCTTTAAAAAGTTGAAAGTTGGGGTCCTGGGGATATAGCTCAGTTGGTAGTGTGCATGCCTTGCCCGCACAAGGCCATGGGTTCAATCCCCAGCACCTAAATAAATAAATAAATAAATAAGTTGGAAAATTCATACTTTCTGATTTTAAAATTTACCAGAAAACTACAATAGTAAAGACTCTGAATAAGGATGAATATAGAGATTAATGAACTAGAGTTGAAATAAGCATTCACATTTATGACTGATTCTTCACAAAAGTGCCAAGAAAATTCTGTGATGAAAAGGTAACCTTTTCAACACATAGTCCCAGGTCAGCTGGATTTCTACATGCAAATGTATAAGCTGGACCCTTTCATCACAGTGTACAAAAATTAACTAAAAATGGATCAAAGACCCAGATGTAAGAACAAAAGCTATAAAATTTTTATAAGAAAATACAGGAGTAAATCTGCATGACCTTAGATTAGACAAAGCTGTGAGTATGACACCAAGAACACATGTAACAAAACCAAAATAGGCCAATTGGGCTTTATCAAAATTAAAACTCTTTTTGTGTTCCGAAGGGCATTGTTAAGAAAGTGAAAAGACAACTGCAGAATGAGAGCAAATATTGGGGAATTATGTTTGATAAGAGACTTGGATCTGGCGTATGTAAAAACTCTTAAAAGACTTAAGACAACCCTGTTTAGAAAAAAAAGTAGGCAAACAATCTGAGTAGACATTTCCCCAAAGAAAATGTACAAATGTCCAGTAAGCGTATGAAAAGATAGTTGCTTGATGTCATTAGTGATCAGAGAAATGTGAATCAAAACCACATGAAATACCACTAAGTACCCACTAGGGTGGATGTGATAGAAAAGACCTTACATGCTGGAGAGGAATTAGAGAAATCACTACCCTATTGCTCTGCTGGTGGGAATATGAAGTGCTCCATCTACTTTGGAATATAGTTTACAGTTGCTTAGTAGGTTAAATAGAGACTCGCTATGTGACCCAGTAATTCCACCCCTATATACCTCAAAGAAATTAAAATGTGTCCACACAAGGACTTGTATTCAAATGTTCATAGAAGCATTTTTCATCAGTGGAAAGATGAAAACAACCAGGTCTTCGGCTGATATGTGGGTAAATAAAATGCGTTTTTCCATATAAGAGGATATTATTTTGCTATAAAAAAAGGAATTGTAACATGGAGCATGGCATCTGGTAGAAACCTGAAGAATGAGATTCATGGACAACAGAAGGTGAAAGCAAAGTCTAGGAATTTATTGAAGCAAAGCAAAATAACCCCCTTGGGAGGGGTACCAAGAGGGTTGCTAGTGGGCCAGTCCTGTTGAGGAGTTTATAAATGTCTGCTAGGGATAACATTTTATACTCATTGGTTATAATAAGAGGAAGTCATGCTCTAGCCTAATTCTGGGTAAGACACCCAGTGTCCACAAGATATCCATGCAGTCCCATGTCCAATCAAGATGTTGATCACAGGTTATTCCCTTTTTTGGAGAGGCTGTGGGCTCCATAGCATGCATGCCTTTTTTAGGTAAGATATTCACAAACTCCTTAGCAACAGTTTGTGTTCTGCTGATCATGGAAGGCCTCTCCAGGTGCCCATTTCTCTGACTGCCTGGCCTTTTTTCTACCTCCTGATCTCAGAATGATGTACCAATTGAAGCTATAACATGGATGAACCCTGAAAAACTCCACACAAAGTGAAAGATTCTAGTCCCAGAAGACCAGGTATTATATAATTCCATTTATATGAAGTATCCCAATAGACAAATCTATAAATAGGTCAGCCTGGGTTTATTGGTCCATCTTCTCCTCTGTGCTGCCTAATAGCAGGGGCTGCCTTTTCTCTTTCAAATGCTCAGCTTGTGCCATGTAGTACTCAGGTAATACTGGCTGAAAGAATAAATTAATAAAACAAGATCAAATGTTTCCATTAGACTCCTAAGCATTGCTTTCCTGTTAACTAGAAAAATCTGAACTGTTTATGCTGGTCTAATAATTTGGCATCACTGGTTTACCTGGCATACTTTAGAATGATAGTTCAGTCCTGACATTAAAGTAAAAACAGACATCAATATATGTAAATTCAATTATAAAGTTAATTTTTAAAAGTTAATGGAAAGTTTACTAATTAGTAATATACTTAGAGGAATTGTAGCCAATAAATATATCCTTTTTTAACCCACTTTGGGTACTGGGAATTGAACCCAGGGGCACTAATCTACATCCCCAATCTACATCACTAATAAGAGGAAGTTATGCTCTAGCCTAATTCTGGGTAAGACACCCAGTGTCCACAAGATATCCATGCAGTCCCATGTCCAATCAAGATGTTGATCACAGGTTATTCCCTACATTCTACATCGCCTCCACCCCCTCCTTTTTGGAAAAAAGTTTCACTAAGTTACTTAGTGCCTTGCAAGTTGCTAAGGCTGGCTCTGAACTTGTGATCCCAAAATATATCTTCATTTCGAAAGACTTTTTCCTGAAGGGCCTCTGTATGTTTTACAAACTTTTCTACGGACAGTTTAAACTCCAGTTTTTTAACGTGCCTTGTGAGTTGAATATTTGAATTCCCACAGCAGTACAATTGGTTTCTTTAATGATATTTGTATAAATATATATATCAAGTTGGTGGAATGAGTTTAGTATGTGTTTGAACCTGTGATAGCCCGCATTCTTGCCAAAATTTAGAAAACCTACTTAGAAATATTCCCCTTATTCCTCTGCCAGTTTTAATAGAAGCCAAAACCTTTCATCATATTTGCTTCCCTTCTTCATTCAAAGAAGAACAAAGGTAAAGCTATTGATATGTGATAAGTTATGATATCAATGTGTCTGAACCATATGAAGCCATAGTAGCGCACATGTGTATTATTATCTTGAGAATCTGGCATGAAATGGTGTTCTCTGGTAATGTTACCTAAATACAGAGGTGCAGATAAAATTGTCTTAGTGGAGCCTTTTAATTTTATCCTTCTTTGTAATTTCTTAAAAGGAGATAGAAGCCGGGCATGAAGGTGTATCTGTAGTTCTTGCTACTCAGGAGTTTGAGGCAGGAGACCAGCCTGGGGAATAAAGTAAGACCCTATCTCTTAAGAGAAAAAAGTGAGAAAAAGAATAAAACAAACTAAAAGTAAATAGAGATTTTCATTAAAAAACCAGAGAACATTAAAATAATTTGTTTTTTTCTTCAGTTTATACTACCTTTCATCCAATCATTTAAAAACATTTCTACAAAACTCAGGAGGCCATTTCTGTAGATAACATTTACATGAAGTTGGAAAATGGCATTGCACTAAGTATGGTGTAGAGAAATTTTTGACTTGGAATCATGTCATTCTTGATATTTGTGTGGCTGCAGGTTTCTGAATAAGAGTGATCACCACTTATTTTGTTAAGAGAAAGGCAGCCCAAATAAATTTTCTTTTTGGTTTCCTTTCACTAGTTATACTCTGTGAACTAAGTTACTTTCCCCCCTCTTCCCATGGGCCCCAAAATAGCCTTATTAATAGGAATATATGATGTTTGTGTTCTTAAAAAAAAATCAGGGTGGTCTTAGATGTCTGTCTTCCATTCTGGCATTTCCCTTTATACAACCCTTTAGAATTTTTTGTTTAAAAACTGGCATTCCAATAGCTTTTCTTTGGCCTAATGCCTGGCTTGCATATTGAAGCAGCAAATTAGGAATGTTAAGACGTCCCCTAAAGAAAAAATGTTTGTTATGAAAGTAGAGATGATGTGACACTTAGAATTAGACCTTCTTAACTTGTCTAAATGACAGTTAATGATCTTTTTTCTTTTTCTTTTATTATTTTAAGTGGGGTGGGGGTTGGGGGTGGGGGATTGAAAGAAATGCCCAAAGGCTGATGCTGTGTTTGGTTCACTAAACTGTTACATGTCAAATGTACTTCACTGATAATACATCTTTTGTCTCTTTTTAGGAGCTAATTTTGTTACTCGAAAAATTAGCCGGTCAGTAGCTAAGATTTACCTTGGACAACTGGAATGTTTCAGTTTGGGAAATCTGGATGCCAAACGAGATTGGGGCCACGCCAAGGACTATGTAGAGGTAGGAACTGACTCATTACATTCTTACAAAGACCCATATGGGTTGATGTTTTAAAGCCATGTGGTGAAAAACCATGAGCTCTAGGTGGTGGCATACAGACTTTTGCTAATGCATTTATGTTTAAACTCATATTTTCAATTGAAGGCTTGTTAGTTCAGGAGTGCTTACACTGAATGCTATTTGAATGAGGAAATCTTTCAAAATTCTTATTTTAATTAGTTAAAACAAAGGAGCTGGTAGTACTTTGGATGATGGATGGTTAGACAGATGGGAAAAAATGTTACAGTGTTGTTTTTTCTTCTTTCTAAAGCTTTGATCCCTACCCACATTGTTTCACCTTCTGTCTTTCCTATCCAATACACACAAAACCTACCATGAAAGAATTTTTTGGATATAAAATATTTGTTCTCATATTTTTAAAAAATAATAACCAATCTCAATTTTTATAATCCAAGACCTTTAGATCTACATTATTCTTTGAAATCCCTGTGAGAGTAATTGTCTTATGGAACTTTGGTTTCTGCTGCTGAGGAGTCTGGCTGTGTCTCTGCACACTTCTTGTTACCACCAATGATCCTTGTCCATCAAATAGAGATGCTCAATGATACTACTGCTGAATAATAGATATACTTAAAGGGAAATTCTTCAGGTTCACTCTTGGGATTCCTACACAAGTTACATTTGGGTTTTGGTTACCAGGGTTATGTGCATGAGTAGTATGATTTTTCTGTTTTATAAACAAATGGTTACCTTTTCCTTTGCCCTAATTAGTATTCTTTGAAATCTCCAGACATGTGGCCAGACATGAATGAGCAGGATAGCAACATTGTCCTTTTCCCTAGAGTCATCTGTCTTCATCATTCAGGTGCTCACAGATCTCCTATGCTCCTGTGGCTCTCTGTCTTATAGGATTTCTGAGAAACTAGGTATGGCATCCTTGTGCATTGATGTGATTCAAAAAGAAACTTGAACATTTATAAAAGAAAGAGAATAAGTAACTCATTTGCTAACAGATTCGCTTCACCTGTGTTTTTATTTTTTTATAACAACTAAAAATAAGTATGTTCTTGAATACCTAATACTAATTTTTATTATGGATGGAAAAATTAGCTCTGATTTAAATTTCAGAGAGTGCAACATTTTGATCCTTTAAATATGAACTTCTGTTATTACAAAGAAGCATTTTACAGCAGTACTTCTTTGATATATTTTAAGAGAACTGTATAAAAAAATGTATAGGTCCACACTGTTAAAAATTATGAAGGTGGGAGAATGGAGATAAGGGTAAAAGAAGATAACATTATTCTTATCTAACTTGAATGGCCTTTCCTACTAAAAAACACAAGGGAAATTTTGTAAAAATAAATATTTTCTCGGTGATATATTGATGTGTAGCATCCTAGCAATCTGCATATGCTTAGAAATACATGGGAAGTATATGAAAACACTTTTCCTTATTTAGGGATCAAATATATTAAATTCTATTCTATTTTATTTGCACTTGGGCCAAAAAAAAAAAAAGAAATTTGTATTGGAGCTGAGAAATCCATTGGATTTTAATGGTGAGGGAAATGTCATGCCAGCCTGATGGTAGTATTTATTACTGGTTATTGTTTTTCTTTATGGTTTCTATTTTTCCCATATCTTTGAAATGAACACATATAAAACTTTGTGATTGGGAATGGAAATGACATTTTTAAATGAGACCAAAAAATTTCTAAAAAGGACTATAGAATAGGTATGTAATAGTTCACAATAGTCACTTGTGAACTAGTGACTCCAGTAGAGTCTCACTCCCCAAGTCTACAACTACTAGTGGGTTTGGCTCAAATCTTAAACAAAAGACCCATATTTGAATTCATATAAAATAAAAATGTTTATAAACATTTTTGTCGCAAATATTTCAAAAACAGTGGCCTAAATTCAGTCATTTTTATGACTGCTAGACAAGATAGTGTTAGTATGGAAAACCCAGAGGCCAAAATGTCCAGACAAGATTAAGATACTCAGACCTTTTACTAAAAGTGTGAAATTGTTACTTCTACGGGCATACACACACACACACACACACGCGCACGCGCGCTGGCGCACTCATATACATACACACATACAGATGCACAGTTCAGACAGTCTCCTTGACATCTAAGACTGGATTTGCTCCACAAGACAAGTGGATTTTGTGTATTAAGGATTCTCCTCGGGTTCTAATAGTAATACATGTTGATTATGTAAGAAGCATTTTATAGTTCTCATTTATGTGTACTGAAAAAAGTCTCAATTTGTAAAAAGATACCGTAAATAACTAAGCACTCATAGTTTGCAACTCTCTACTTAAAGGAATATTACTGTTTCTTTTAATTTTAAATGTATTACAATGACGTTATTCCAGAGACTTATGATTAAAATTAATTTGTTGCCAAAATTAAAGTCAACAATCAGTAAGATTAAAAAAGGAGAAGCACTGTTTGTTTAAAACATATGTGCATCCTGACAGGGTAATCAGCTTTAGGATGAAGAATTGTTTGCAAGTATAGATCAAAGAAGTCATGATAGCATCTCATTTACACACATTTTAATTATATAATCCCTCTCATTTAAACAAAAATCTTTAAGTGATGTATCCATTTTTACTTGTAGATGAATTTCCCTCTTGAGGAGTAGAGAACATTTGCCCCTCATGATTTAAGAAGGGTGCACAGGATCCCAGCTGTGCCATTGAATTGCCCCTCAGCTTTAGAGAAGTTGTTATATCTCCCTTTGCCCATCAGTGAAAAGGACATAATAACAACCCTGTAAAAAATTAGCATTAACATGCTGGGCATATGTGATTAAACTCTACCTCTGTCTTGTCAACATTTTTGCAACCATTTGTACAAAGTCATTTCCTGTGGCTGATTCTGGTTCATTAGCATCCAAGTATAGTCCTGCTTTCTAGATCAAAGTGCTTTAAAAAATACTTAAATGGATAAAACTTATTTCAACTTGAAAAAAGAACATAAAAAACTGTATAATGTTATATTTCAACTTGAAATAAAGAAAGAACATTAAAAAACTGTATAATGTTATATTGTATTTCAAAATAGACGAGTCATAGGGACTTAAATCTTTCTAATATTTAAATATAAGCATTTTTAAACATGCAAAATAATCGAATAAATTTTATTATGAACACCCAGTTATCTACCACCCAGATTCTATATTTAACATCTAATTCTGCTGCATTTTGAAAATAAAAATACTATTTAGATAATCACTGTCATGCTAATAATAGCTGACAGATGTAAATACCTAATAGATACAAATACAAGTTGTCAAAAATTTATATTTCTTGTAATATATACTTAGACAGCAATTTGAACTTTTAAATTATTTTTTTCTTAGCAACTATTTACCTGAACCCTTCACTCCCTGTTTTATGCTGCCTACCTTCCTGTACCTTCTTGAGAACACACTGCAGGCATGCATACCATATTCCAGCTGACTGCCAGTCTACACTGCAGTGGTGGCAGTGAAAAGAGCAAAGGAAAAATCCTCTAACTTTTCAGAATATATATTCATTCCACATATATTGAGTACCTCCTGTGGTTGTAGTTCTAGTTGCTGCAGACAACAGTCTTCCAAGCTTTGTCTAAAGCCAGATAAGACTGAAAATCTTATATTTTACAAAGTTAATCAGATTTATTTATAGTAGGACTGACTGCCCCAAACTGATATGTTAATGTGGACTACAGACAATTCAGATTGGTAGGGGATTTCCAAAACTTATTTGACCTGGGAATCCTTGGAATGAAAAAAAAAAGTATGAATACATATCAGTACTATATAGAGTTAGCAAATGGTGCCATGTGCTGGAATAGAATTTATTCTATTCCAGAGTTTGATTAACAAAATTTCACTGTGATCCCTGTTGATTAAAGTATCTAGAACATAACTCTGGCCAATAAAATATTGAGATATAAGCTAATTGGTAGGAGCTACACTGGGAGTAAGTTGAAGCTTTTACCACTCTCAAGAGGCTCCCATTCCTTTGGGAGACACAGATAGTTAAGAGACCAGGTCCAAGACTTTCAAGGACTTGGCAAAAGCTATTTATGGATTGGTGAGAGGTTTCCCTCCTAGGAGCTAACCCCATAGATGGCCCTGGAGAGTTCTATCATCTGGAGGAAATCCAGGATACATTCAGATTATTAGGGATTGGCTTAAAGTTCTTCTGCATGTAGTATCATATTATTCTAACCACTCATTTAATTTTGGTAAGGGGAGTGTGGGTGTTAGAAGTAGGGTCTGTGTAATATACCATTTCCAGAGAGATGGAAAATTCTGCTTTTCTCCCTTTTCTCTTCCTGATTTTAGTGGTTCAAGGGGAAGAGAGACATATGGAAGTTAAGATCTGATAGGGGTATATGTGAGCTCTTGATGTACCTGTGATTCCAGCTGTATCAGGCAAAGATGCAGAGGGTATGTCTGGGGAGGTATATACTGAGGTCTCCCTCCTCTTCTGTCCGTTGAGCCTTCAATGAGTGGATTTTCATTGCAGCTTCTAATTCTCAGCTGCTGCAGAGACCCTTCTGCAGGAAACATAAACTATGACCAGAGATAGGGAGAATTGACCCACTATTTCTTCATCCTTTCTTCAGTCCACATTTTACATCCCATGTTACACTAATCTGAAAGGAAAACATACCATTTAAACTTTCTGAGGTCTTTTTTAAAGGAAGTTTCTGTCTGGAGCATCATCAGCAACCAGTGTGTTTGTGTTTGTGTGTGTGTTTGTGTGTGTGTGTCTACATTCAGGAGAGTAGCATGTAAAAGTAGTTTTTTTGTGTTTCAGTTATATGAAGTGTTAATATTGTCAGAATTCATATTTTAGTAAAGCCTCACTTAATAAAGAAGTGAGGCTCTACTTGTAAAGTGACCACGAGTGACACACACCGAGTTACTGTGGAGACTTCTCACTGAACAGAATCATTAAGATTTTTATGGTGCAGTGGAAGATGGTA